CAGGCCAATGCTTCATTTAAAAGTTTTTCGGAAATGAATGGGTAAAAATCGACAATATCAAATGAAATAAAACTGTGCCTGTCTTTATCGTTTATATTGCGAAACCATGACATTACTTGTTGCGTATTTCTCCATTGATTTGATTTTCGTTTTTGTCTCAAATTGGAATTGATTTTATCTAAAATAACCTTGCTTAATTTTCCGGATTCGCTTTTTGCGGGATTAATTAGTCGGCATTTTGGATTGTTTTCGAAATTTTCTTTTTGATCTTTTAAAGATATAAATGCTTCGCGTTTTTTCATTCGTTCAATTCTGTCGCCAATTCCTAACCTACTCGAAATTTCTTTCAATTCGGAGTCAATTTCATGTATGAAGTCCTCTGATCCATGTTTGTACGTTTTCGTGATGTTGTCATGTAAGAGTTCGTTGTATGTGTTCAGTGATGTTTCGTAAATGTTTCTAGTTTTGTCCGCGAAAATGAAAATGTTGGGGGATGAATTAATTTTCTTCAAATCGTTAGCCAAAGATGTCTGAAATTGGTCTTTAGGACGCCGGAATTTTACGTTTTCAATTAGTTTTATCAAGTCGTCTTCGAAAGGTTTCAAAAGTGGAATTGAGGGAGGCGATTTGTTAGACGAAAGGCCGAAAAGGTTGCTATGGTTTTGAGTCGTTGATCCTTTTAGGAAGAAATTAGCTTTCCATCTCATACGTTTTGTTACGCTCTCCACTTTTTCAATCAAATTCTTTAGGTAAGCATCCTGTGATGGTATAGGAATATTCTTTAGTGAATAATCTATATATATATATATATATATATATATATATATATATATATATATATATATATATATATATATATATATATATATATATATATATATATATATATTGCACACAGGATCGACAATAATCGGAAATCTGATTGGATTATATATATATACGACACTCTATTCTCCGCAGAGCCTTTTCTCCTTCTTGTGACAAAAGAAGCATATTAGAGAGGCTAAGATACCCCGGTTCCGGTTTAGGTATTTTTTACCCGTATTTTTACCCGTATTTTCTACCCGTTTCCCCGCCGTAAACTATGGTCTACACGTAAACGACAAACAAGTACGGGTGTTTTCTGTTTACTATTTGTGGGCCGTTTCAATGGTAAAAAACGTCAACATGTTACTCAAATAAATAATGCACATATGCTCGTCAAAGTTTTCAACAATCTATGGTAAACCTCAACAGCGAAAGTTACCATTCTCTGATTGGTTTTCACACGCCGAAATATCTTGGATTTCTTAAGTGACAAGTCGTTCCCCGATTTACGGGCACGGGTACGTGTATATCTTTATTATGTCGTTGACACTACGGCGATTAATGGAATGGAGCCAAAAAAACTTGTCAAACTGTATATTAATAATATAAGGATGCAAGTTTATATCAAGTTAATAATTTCGGGTCTTTCAACTTAGGCAAACAGCAACATGACAAGTATAAACTACATGAACGTATTATAAACAATCTTGTTCATAGCAAGAACTGCACTATCCTTTTCTTCATTGTAAGTTTTTTAACTACACCATTAATGGTAAAATGACCTGACAAATTCAAGTAACGTTACGGTAGATAGTAACCACACTGATAAATTTGCTAATCGGCTTTGCTTCAATATAGGCTTAGCGAGATGTCACTTGGTATGGGTATACTGAGAGACCAATAAAATTGTTCTCCATTGTGAGTTAGTCATTAGAAAAATGTAAAAACATTACTTGTGAACCGTTCTTTAGGAACACGTTTCTATGCTTTATTTTAAAAAATGGAAAACATTAGCGTAGTTTGGGGGAAACGAGAAAATTATTAGTGGGAACTTGGATTATGCGAAGTGTTTCCACGTAATTTCGAGTTCTCCCTAGCCTCCTCCGCAGGCCTCTCTATGGGTTCTAGCCTGCGAATGGGTTTTGAAAAAAAAAATTTGTGGGAGAGGCCTGCCATAAATCGAACAAAATGGACGTGTCAATGTACCTTGTGGCCGTGTCAATGTACCCCACTCACTGAGTAGGCTTTTGACCCTAATTATATATTCAGTTTGAAATCTTCAGGCGAGGAGCGAAGCTTGCGAGTATTAACTTTAAAAATGTTTTAAAATGCATCGAAATATTCAAGTTATACGAAAATTAGTTGGTCAATTGAAAGGATTATATATCGCAACGTCTCTCGCGGTCTAAAAACGGCGTGCAAATTTAATTGAATCGCTCGCTCGAAGCAGCCAAATGTTTACAATGTATCAATTGTTCAGCCGAGGAACTACAATTTGAGGAAATTATCTGGCATAATTTCGAACGCAAAACGAAGAATGGAACGATACGAAAGGTATAATTGTTTAATAAAGGGATTATATTAAATTGTATTGTTTTCTGGAATATTATTTTGGCATGTTTATTTATATGAAGGGGTTGACATTTTGATTATATTTTACTAATTTTAGTCAAATCATCAGACATTTGGCAACATGTTAAGTGAATTGATATATAAAAGGAAAAGATCTTTCTGTTGAAGCAACCATTTCAATAAGTGAGGAGAGATAACAACTTGGAAATATCGACTACAGATATTTGATGACTACAAAAATCAAGATTTTGTTGGCATCTTAAGCCTGGTTTACATATGCCTGCATTATCATTGTTTACAGCTAGTGTTGATGCATACATTCTTTTGTGAATTATTTAGTTGAACTTTTAACAACAATAGCGCATCAACAAACAGCAGGTATATGTGAACCAGGCTTCATTTGGTTGAATAGTTAACTGGAACTCACCCCCTTAATTAATATCATGTGAATATATGCCTAGTTGTGTTACACGTACTGGCCACATGACATCCATGATTTGATAAATAAAGAAATTGATGATGTATCTGTATATTCTCTAATTATATGTATCTCCCTTGTTCATGTTTAAATAAAATTGCTCTTGACATATATTTGTTTTATAAAATATAATAAATCTAGATTGACATGAATCATGTAAGAGCCTACAATGCCAGGGGCTCACAACAAGTTCTTGTTGTCTCATCCCTTGTCGGCAGGCCCCTGCTTTTACTCTGCCTAACATCAGACAATTTTACTATTCCAGGGGAGAGTGCAGACAATGGGTTAATCTAAAGCTTCACAGCTTACAATTAATATATGCTCACCATTGAAAGACTTTTGGGTGGTTGTAATGTAACAATTAATAGCAAAACATGCAGGAATGCATTTACTGGGGGGGAGGGTGCACACCCCCTCCTTAGCCCTGGCCAGGGTGTGTGTGTGCTATTTGTCATGATAAAGCAAAAAATATTAGAGACAAAATGAGATATTGTACACAGTACACTTGTACCACATGGAGGTTGTTTTGCCAAATTGTGAAAATACTGCTGTTGCTGTATATTAATGGTGGGCTGCACACATGACGACACAACTCGAGTCACCCGACACCAGAGCTGGCAGAGCACCCCCCTACCAGATCATGCTGGATCCATCCCTGAAAACACGTCTATCACTGGGAAGTTTCGTCAGTGACTGTTTGTATGGTTATAGGGAAATTTGCCTTGCAAAATGGATTTTACCCATGTAAATATTTTGTCTGTGAACTTTGGCAAGCAAAATGGAATGTATGTAATGTCTTCAATGGTTAATTAGCAAATCCAAGGCAAATGTTATTAAGACAGGTCTTTATACCCTGTTGCACCACATGGAAAACTATTAGATTCTTATTAAATTCCAGTTGTCCTTTCCCTTATGTCTATACATAACTCACACCCATATATAAAACAGGGCCACTGATTTAAGAAAGCTTTTGCTAATTTTCATTTTTCGCCACATCTCACATCTGAGACACTCAAGTTTGAAAACTTTGTCTTTGTCCATTGGGACCAAGGGATAAATTGCACAGTGTATTCCACATGTACAATAAGAAAGCTATTTGTTTGAGACTTTTATTAATGATTTCCTTCCATACAAGCGTATTTATAAAACAAGGCAAGAGGTGTTTATATATTTAATACGCAGGCACAGATGTCAACAGTTGAATTTACATTTATATATTGACAATTTTCGATCGTTTCTTTTCGTGTCAATATAATTTCGACTAAATCACTGCACTTTCAGCTTATTATGATATAAAATGTCGTCAACAATTTGCATAGAAATTTGTATATATCAACGATAAACTTTCAATTGAAACCTTGTCTTGATAAATGTCTTGACATGAATCGACGACAACGTGAATTCACTGCTCTGCAAAGTCACTCGTTGTCTCTAAACAATCCCAGTAAATCGCTGCGTCGGCTCTCGATAAGTTCTCAGTTCCTTAGTCAAAGTTCCCTTTGTATTTGCAATGTTGAAGACCAGGATTATTCGTTAATTTTACAGTTTTACTCGTCTTGTAAGCCATCGTGTTGAAAACAAAATTTTCTTCACTCCTTGCCGTAAGCCCTTCCTACTCCTCCTAAGTTTGAGTTTGTCGAAATTTGCATGCGCGATCCGGTATGCGCAGTGCAAATTTCTGTGTCGATTTATGGCAGGCATCTCACCAAACTTTTTTCCACCACCCGATTCGTCGGGTGAGATGCCTGCGGAGGAGGCTAAGTTCTCCCAAGCTTTCGTGAATGTTTCTATAAATATATAATTATGGCAAGAGGAAGAAACATTTTCTCATTTTCTTAATAAAACGGCAGAAATAGCGAAATGGAGATTGCTGTATATGGGTAAAATTTATTATTTGTGTCTATAATGGCGTTATTCTTGCGTCCTTCCCCTAATAAATCATAACCATCAACCAATGACAACTTAGAATGCGATTTTGTTACTAGTGTAAGTAACTGAATGTCTTGAATGCAATTGAACTGAATACTGAATGCCGAAAGAATAGGAGAATGTTAAATAAAGAAAAGGTTTACATGTACCACAAGTTTAATTGTTTAAATAAATTACATACATCAGTCAACTACCCTTTTCATGTAAATTTAAATTAGTGAGAATGTTTTTTTGGCTTCGTAAACTGATCAGCTGGCGAGAAACCAATGGCGTTAAACTTGTCTTCTTTCTCCATTCCCGAACACACCTCATCAGGATTTTCGCTGCTTGGTTTTTCTTTAACTGTTAATTAAATTAGAACATCGTAAGATAATAGTCTATTTGATGATATTCATTACTGTTTGTTTCACTTGTATTAAAATATTAAAATCTGCTCGTTCCAACTATTTGAATTGAAATTGACGTCGTTTTCATACGTGTATATTATCCTACAACATATTTGATGTGCCAATTAAAATGTTTTTTAATTTTAAGGATTGCATGCAGTTACAGTAATAAAACCCTGGATCCGAATGGTATAACTAATTATATTTATTAGGAAAAATGTAAACTGAAATTTCGAATTTCGATATTTTGGTCAAACAAAGTTACTAGTTTTGCTAACTTTGATTTCCCAAATTCCATGGCTTTTCCCTCGAAATGTACGCGATTATTTTTACTTCCAGCGCATTTTGATTGGCTAAATTCGAATAAAGTGTGGTGATGGGCGGTAAACCACTGAATAAGCGTTTGTGTCAGGCGTTAATTACCTCCCAAAATGCCTGATCGCAGGTTAAATGCGAGGTTGCAACAAATCCAGCAAATACCAATACTATAGAGTCAACGACTTGTCTGACGAATATTAAGTACAAAAAACACAATATAACAATGTCAACATTTTGAACACTCATTAATAATTCATAAGCTAATTGGCAAATCTTGTCAACCATAATATGTCACGTGCAGTGGCTTTAAACCTGATAAAACACTCCTAATTAGTATTCTTTATATGAAGAATACTAATAAGGCAGTATTTATTGTAGTCGTCTCCTCATTAGTATTCTTTATATAAAGAATACTAATAAGTCAATATATCTAAGGAATTTGTAGTCATGTTTGAAGCCGTTACTTTAATAAACTGGCAGGTCGTGATTTATTAGGTCTAAAGCCACTCGAGCTGCGCGCTCGTGGCTTTAATTTAAACCTAATAAAACACCCCCGCTCGTTTATTAAACAGTACATAACTGATGTTTTTATGAAATTGAAATGGCTTATGATTTGACATACCATTAATTAAACTGGAACATTCATTTAGATTCGAAATTCTTTATGGTGAGTCAGTAAATCCCTCCATTTTTACTTTTTGTTGATCTGTCTACAGTGTACACAACCTATCTATATAATTACATCATAATTCGTTGAAACGAGGCTCCCACCCAACTCATATTTTGCATTGTCGTTATATTTATTCGTGAAGACGACTAGCGATAACTTTGAATTAGCGATTACATTATACCGGTAATTTAAATTAACTGAACTGTATATCGATGGAAGGCTGACTTCAATCAATCGCATAATCAAAAATGAAGCCAAAATTTCGGAATTTGAAGCCATTCTTTGGGACCTAGTCTCTATCCCCTGACACGCGCCGTTAGGTATTGTTATATTTTTTGGCGGTAAGTGAATGATTTACGATTAATTCTTGGGTTCTGCTTTACTTAATTTACAAAAAAAAAAGAAAGGAAATAACCTTAATTTATTTCATATGAACCTGATTTCCTTCATTTTCTCGATCTGTCCACTGTAGTAAATCTGTATTTTTCACTATTGTTTTTGGGTAAATCTGTAGTTTTCATTGAAAATTTATTGTTGTTTGGTTGTTTTTTCTTGTTTCTGTAATGGTTTTTACACCATTAATGAGTTCATCTGTGGTCTGTTTTCCCGGAACAGGGCTGCTTTTCAACTGCAGTTTCAGAATAGCGCAGTAAAAAGGATTTTCATTCCGTGCGCAAAATGACAAAGAAATTTCGTATTGCTTTGTATTTTTATATTTATAATAATCTTCTTAACTCAAATTGTTTAACTTAAGTTGCTAATTTAATAAGACTGAACCACATGTTGACAGAGGACAATATTTCTGTTTTGTTTGTCAACTCAGTGATGATTTTCTGTGTCATTACCAAGAACAACAAACAGGCGCAATTTTGCTTTCCATCAAGTCAAATTTCGCGTCTTTTAAATGAAAAAATTTACCAGTTAAAATTAAAAATTGACCCAAAACAAAACACTATGCAGCATTCAACTTTTCATGTGGATTTATTCGAATTTTATACACATAAATTTAGATGACCGCGCGCGTTAGGAGACTGAAACTGACGCCCAAGAATGTCCTGAATGTCTGCCATGCATGTTTGCCCAATTTTTAAGCAGGGGGCAGCCAACAATGTTGTAGAATTCAATGTTATATAGAGAAAATAGAAAATGCACTACAATAAACCTAAAAGGTAGAATCTTTTCAAAAATTAAAAAGTTTCAGCCGTCGTCTTCATTAAAAATATAAAAGCGCCAAAAATTGCAATGGATTACCTTGGAGCTTCGTTTTCACACAATGTGACGTAATTGTGGAAAGGGGGAACTTTAAATATCTATTATAGCTCTACTTACATGAATACGTGAAAATTGTTAGGAAGCTGTCAATTTTGTCAAACTTGAGGCAGGTGAATTCTTCGAGGTTGTATAACGCTCTATAATACAAGATTTGAGAGAGTTTAGAAACTAGATCATCATTTCCATCTTAACTGCACAAATCGGGACAAAATATTGGGTTTATTCAAATTAAATTAACTTCATTACAACATTGAACACATATTCTTTCTAGCAACTTTAAGTTTGGGAAATTGTATTCAAAATGTTGTCATGAGACACCATAGGTGCAAGATTTATACATAATTTACAGTGAGGTTATAACGAAATAATCTCCATGGGCGAAATCTCATTGATATCTATTGAAGCACTTACCTCATTTTCTTATACAACGATTTGTACGATTCCGGGACTTCGCTTTTCGTTAAGAAGTAGCCACCGTCACTTCCAGATATGCAGTCAAATTTAATTTCAGTTTTCTTCTCGCCAACTTTCTGGTGCATTGTTGCTGAGGTTGCACTAATATCAATTGAAACCTCAAGATTACCTTTCTCAGTCTTAAAATCCGGTGCTCGCCAGGATCCTCTGACTTCTTCAGGAATATTGCAGGATGTAGTCCTTTTATGTGCTTGTGTGAGAAAAATAAAAGCCAGTTACACAGATCTGAAATAATTTTCTTAGTACTGCATGACTGAAATCCATATAATTAAGAGAAGGTTGTCTTTTGTTTGAAACTTTTGTTAATACTTATTTCCAAAAAGACATTTCTCGTAACAGAAATTAATCATGTCTTCAACTAATCGAGCGCATGCATTACTATCTACTTCTGAACAAATACGCGCACAAACGTATTTTATATAATATATTCATATTATTATATATTTTCACAATCGTTAGTGGAACATTTTAGCGCACTATTTCTCTCTAGTCTCCGCCTAACTCAGCATTATATACCGTTAAATATATATATCTATGCGCAATTATGATGCACAATTATAGCACCAGTATATCCTAGCTCTACGCATAAAACGTAATGGCATATATCAAACCGTTTCTTAACAAATACAAACTTGTATATTGCCATTAATGCTAATAAAGCATTCTTGACAGAGAAATAAACAAATTTTAAATTAAGATCAAAATCAGGGTTTGGAAAACCTTGATCTCCCTTTTGCAGTTTAAGAAAGCAAAAAGATCTATGCCAAATTTGACCTGATCTATTAACATAATATTATATATACACATTAGAAAAAAATAGCGACAAAATGGCTACCACTTGTATACTAATTTGCATCCAGTACGTATAATTACAGATTACAGTGGATGGTCAGCAACCGAAGCAAACAATAACCATCAGAAACCTATAGGAGCCTACGGGACAATAATGATCTGGATAGAAAGATACAGGCAAGACTGGATGTGGGGAATAGGGAACACGTGGAGGAATATTAGTGGAATAATATTTGATAAACGGATGGTAATGAAGCTGAGGACGCAGAAATACCAAACGATAGTTAGATCCTATATGATGCACATACTTGGGCAGAGAAGTAACAAAGAGAGAAGAAGAAACGAAGACATAAGGAAGAAATTGACGGTGGCGTAACTGAGAAAGTAGGCTAAGATGGTATGGCCATGTGAAGAGAATTGAGGAAAATGAGCTTGACAGATGGACTGCGGAGCGCAGTGGATCAGGAACAAGAAGCGAAGACAACAGAAAATGTGATTTGTGCGGGGTGACGGAATTTCGGAATTTGAAGCCATTCTTTGGGACCTAGTTTCTATCCCCTGACACGCGCCGTTAGGTATTTTTACATTTTTTGGCGGTAAGTGAATGATTTACGATTAATTATTGGGTTCTGTTTTACTTAATTTACAAAAAAAAAGAAAGGAAATAGCCTTAATTTATTTCATATGAACCTAATTTCCTTCATTTTCTCGATCTGTCCACTGTAGTAAATCTGTATTTTTCACTATTGTTGTTTGGGTAAATCTGTAGTTTTCATTGAAAATTTATTGTTGTTTGGTTGTTCTTTCTTGTTTCTGTAATGGTTTTTACACCATTAATGAGTTCATCTGTGGTTTGTTTTCCCGGAACAGGGCTGCTTTTCAACTGCAGTTTCAGAATAGCGCAGTAAAAAGGATTTTCGTTCCGTGCGCAAAATGACAAAGAAATTTCGTATTGCTTTGTATTTTTATATTTATAATAATCTTCTTAACTCAAATTGTTTAACTTAAGTTGCTAATTTAATAATTGTTAGATCCTATATGATGCACATACTTGGGCAGAGAAGTAACAAAGAGAGAAGAAGAAACGAAGACATAAGGAAGAAATTGACGGTGGCGTAACTGAGAAAGTAGGCTAAGATGGTATGGCCATGTGAAGAGAATGGAGGAAAATGAGCTTGACAGATGGACTGCGGAGCGCAGTGGATCAGGAACAGGAAGCGAAGACAACAGAAAAAGTGATGTGTGCGGGGTGACGGTAGAGTGGTGGATCTGGATAAAAATGACGAGCGAATAAACTGGAGAAAGTTGTCCAGGCGACCCGATCCCACTTGAAGGGACAAAAAATATGATAAAGAATATAGGGTGAAAATATTTAACTTTAATTTATGGCAATCTGAGAACTCGCCAACTGTTTCCTGACTTCATGGTCAAAGCGTCATTTACGGAAGTTTGCCTGGTATTTCTTATTCAGATCGAGTACCAAAGTATTTTAAAAGAAGACTTTATCTCAACTTCATATGGTTAAACTGCGAGCGATTATGTTTTGAGAATGTAAATGACTAGATCTTGAGTAATACATGGTTGCTTTTTTATACATGTTCAGTAGCTACATACTCGACACAAAATTTGTATAAGAAAATTGTTATTTTTAAACTTTGTTGTTCATATAGTGGCCCAAGCATAGATTAAAGTGTGAACAACGAATTATTATTTGGCCGCCCGGGTAGATACTCGATGTCAATGAATGTGCATTCATATCTTTTGAAAAGTCTGGTTTATCAATAGCTATTTATCGCGAGGCTGGCAAACAGTAGTCGAACTTTCGGGTAGCCACAATTTCAAACAATATCTTTCCACCAAATGTTTCCTTTGTTGAAAATAGAGTCCATTGTACGCCGAGAACATTTACCACGCATTTCAGGTAACGAAATGGATAAAGCTATGGCTATAATAATTCTTCAAACCTTTAGAATGCCCTTCTTCAACCATGAGAGAACAAACAAGCAAAACAATCATGAAATGATAAAACTTCGTCATCGCTTTTCTTTTTCTTCAACTAAAGAACAAATATTGGCTGAACTAAAAAAATGTTTTCTTTCTTTACCTATTAAGGGCCAAATATTTGCTAGAGAGTATACCTATAACAAATGTTTTCATACGTTACATCATACGTTGAAATTGTTGTTATAATTGATTTGCTTTGAGCAAAGTTTTATACTTAACATATAAGATACGAGGTAGTTTTGACATTAAACTGAAACGTTTTAATGTAGGCTATAATTGGTAATCATTTTAAAATTGCTTCCTTCACTTTCAACTTAATCGTATATATAGAAAAAAATGAAATCCCTGATACGTTTTTGTCGGTCTTATCTATATGGCCTCAGGGAGTGAAAAGTTACAAAAATAACATCGTAAAACAATTCGTGTTTGTAATTGTATCTGCAAATTTATTGATCTTGGGTTAATTAAAAAAAGTTTAAAAAATGTACCTGAAATTTCTTTACTCTTCTCACTCTGGCTAACCCTGCTGTAAATGGCTAAGAGCGAATATGTGGGGTGTTTTCATATACAATGTCGTCATCGTTTTGTAAAAATTGCACGCTTGTTAACTCCACTGAAGACTCAATGTGAAAAATTCTACCTAAACATGTTATATCAAGCCATATATAAAAAAATCTTGCTTTTCTATGCATTATACTTAACGTTCCATTAATTTCCTGTCGATCCTTTGTACGCAGATTACTTAGCGAAGGAAAAAGTTTGATTTGGCACATCAAAAACTACCGGTAATTTCTGGATATAGGTGTGATATTCAACAGGTACAAGTTTAACGCATCGATAATTTTGATCATGTAGGTCTGCTAATATCTGTGTATAAGACAGTTCTTTTTATGAAATCGCCTTAGGTTGATATACATAAAGATCTATAGGCGGCGCCATACTAATCTATAGAGTATTCTAATCTAACGGCTAGAAACGGATCACTAGCTGAACACAATTAATATATAAACAAATAAATGACTGCAGGAAAAAAATAACGCATTAGGTGATTTTGTGATCTAACGGCTGGGTCTAGCTATGTTTAAATTAAGGGAAATTGGGATGTGCCTGACTAGTACGCAGACGTGACGAAAAAGCAGTTATTATCATGTTTTATTTTTGAATTTGTTACCAATTTGTTTTTCACCTGTATCCGTCTTTGTTTACAAAAACTATATACAGCCATAGTTATATACCCGTATCGCTGACACTGTGAGTTTAGCGTACCGTATCTTAATAAGCTCCCTAACAAATATAATATTCTTCATTTAACTTCAGATATTGTTAATCTAGATTACTGTTAAATACGAACTGACAATTTTTTTATCTTCTGGTTCATTCTATTGTTTAGCTCGTTATTTCATAGTCAAATAAATGACAGGTAAAAACAACGCATGAGGTGATTTTGTGATCTAACGTTCTACCGTCCTATTTCAGCTTAATTTAGGCCTAAGCGTAAACACTAAATACCGTATACATGATTTGCCTTTTTCTGCGTACGTAGAAATTTAGTAATTCTGGTAACTCCCATGCAAGCATGAATTTACAACTATATGAAAATATTTTTGTAAGCGAAAATAATATTTTTGCCTAAGGTTAATATTTAATAAATATATGACAGGTAAAATGCACTCATGCATGAGGGCGTTTAATTTGTGATCTAAACGTGTTAATTTTTTAATCAAGGGTGAAAAAAGTTAACTATATATATACGTATAGAGGATATGCCATTTTATAGATGTGGAATTATTCTTATATAGTATACAAGTTCATTATTTAGAAGTATATCTTCAAATACCATGAATTTACTCGTGTTTTCGTATAGTGATTACCTGAACGTTTTCTACAAAAAAATTAATGACAGGTACAAGCAACGCATGAGATCATTTTGCATGTGTGATCATGATCTAATGTGGGGTCGCTATAACTATAATATTAATCGTTACAAATACTAAATTGATACACGATACTGTCTTCGCTTTGTGAAAACATCACTGCGTGTTTATTTAAAGGTAAGTATTTTAATTAGTAGTCAATACATGACTTTAAATAACTATAAGGAGATGTAAAATTTATATCTTTTCAAAAATTATCATTGGCTGCTGTTCAAAAACAAGATTTCTTTCTACTTTAATATCTTTTGGTATCGTTCGTTGTTTCTTGTACGATGGGAAATTGTGAAATCTGATCAGTTTGTCATTTTGTCGTTTGATTATCCACTCTATAAATT